CCTTGTGACGAGCTGATCACTCTCCCAAGGAGTCCTATCGAATGTGTATGATCTATAAAAACTGAAGTGAACAGAGAAGTTCATGGAGGTAGGCCTAGGCCCACTGGGGCTGTAGTGCCAAGGGGGAAAAAATGAAGGAAGAGTTAAAGTGGTGTGTATGAAAGAAAGAGAGAATGTTCTCTACACATGTTATAACACCATCTTTATTAGCACATCAGTATTGAAAGAAAACATATTCTTAATTTACTTCCCTTATTTTGAAGAAAAGTGGGCTGATGCTATCTCCATGCAGTCTGTGTGTGTCTGCCAGTACCCTCCATTATATTTTGAATGCCTGAACCAATCTTTATGAAACTGGCAAGGTACTGTGCACTTGCACCCATCGTGATGGCCTATTTCATAAATCCCTCCCATCAGTCTTTGTGTTTGTATGTGTATCCTATCGTTGCTAGGCAGAGGCTCAGTAAAGTGTATCCCTCTATTTATTGGCAACAGTTATGCACAACAACTGAAGAGTCGGACATGTATGTCTGTGAATCTGTGTAATTCCTCTGTCGATTCTAGGTAACAACTCTATGAAGACATTCTGGCATCAGCAAAGAATTTTTGGAGGATCATTTTCAGTGCAGTCCATGTCATATCAAAGGAAAGTAGGCCATTAGTTCTTCCCAATACTTCCTGTTTGTATTATAAGGTCTTCTCCAAAACACAACCTGCTCTATTGTATGGTGAATGCTTTTTAGGTAGCCTCTTTTTTAAAGAAGACTGACTAATTTGTATTTACAGTGCGATCAAGAACATCCAGAAAATTGTCACACTCTTCAGGCAGAAGATATGCTGTAAATACTCATCATGTGAACTTATGCCACTGAGGTCTGGGCAACCATTGTACCCAACAAACTAAGGTTCTGTACGCATTGTAAATGAAACTAACCCGGACCACAGCAGATTCTTGAAATATTTTTCAATTTGTCCACAACTATTCCCAGCACCTCCATAAGATGTTCACATTCACTCAGAGTTTTGATTCCATTCTTCTATAGCCCAATAGCATACTGCTTTATTTTTTTTAATGATACAAATAGTTCTTCTGTTTGGAGCTGTAATATCCTGAAAATTTCACCAGAATATTCTTAAGTTTCGTGCACTACTGCATTTCACGTAAGCATTGTGCATTGACACTCATTCTTCCAGGGTTTTTGCCGTTTTCTCTCAGACGTTTTCAAATAATAATGTGTTGTTGGAGTAATTGCTGGATGTTTATTTATAATTAATTTTTGCCTGTTTGTAACCTGTATAAGTCTGTATACATATTGTGACATATAGACCCATAGCTAGGCAGCCTAGGCAGTGACTTGGTAAACATTCCAACAGGAGCCAACACATACACATCAATAGAATGTATATTGCTAGGCAGTGGATCAGTAAACACACCTAAAATAATATGGGACAATATTTGATCGTGTTTGCTCTGGGGTCTGCCCCAAGGCTATATAATGGAAGTTCCAAGGCAGCAGTGAGTTGTCAGAAGTTGAGAGGGCTCAGTTGAAAAGGAGTTCATTTGAGAGACTTTTTGAGATTTAGGTCAAGTTCTGGAGATTGCAGTTTGAAGGTGACTGAGAAGGAATGAATTAGGCTATGAAAAGAAGGTTTCTTGTGTGATTTGAAGTGACAGTGACAGACTGTTATAAATCCATTTCCACTATTTCCAAATAGTGGAGACAGAGGACCCTAGTGCATGTGCAGTGGTGAACTGAAAGTGTGTAGAATGGCGCTAATGCTGTAACTGCCTGTAATTCTGAGTGCTGTGTATAAGGAATCAGTCCAATCCAAAATCTGTCACGCACAAAACCCATACACATGACAGCCACTGATCTAGCCATAATCGTGACTTTTATAATGTTGAGTTGTCTTGTCTTGCACAGACAGCGTGATGTTTCAGTGGAAATGTTGAGATGTCAACGTAAAGCCATAAGTGTTTGCACATGAAGTTTGAGAGCTACATGCCACCACACTGGCTGTTTTGCATGTGCCGAAACAAACGTGCCAGCAAGCAATTTTTTTTTTGAGGGGGTGACATTTATGATGCAGTTGCCCAAGTTGAATGTAAGCCGTCACTTGAAAGAATTACGCATTTTCTGGAAAAGAGTGTGTTTTTGTTTGTAGCATTGTGCTTGAAAGTGCTTGCTCTGAAAGCTGAAAATCACTAGCATCACCTCTTTGACCGTAACAGAAGTGTGCTGCACTCTGCCATTGAATTGAAGGGTTATAAGTCATCAGTGAAAGTGACTTGCATAGTTTGGTATTGTATATAAGTGAAAAATTTATAAGCACTACTTATTTTGATTGCAAGATTTGGGGCTGAGAATCTTGCAACAGCATGTGAATTAACAGTGAATTGTGTTCTTCTTTACATATTTCATACTAAGTATTTTTTCTTGCTTTGTAGTGGTACTTGGATCAATCTCGGTACCACTGATGCTGGTAGTTTTGGCCATTAACACCGTTGAGATTCTTATCCTATCTGGCTCCCTAGTTCATCGAAGCAGAGTTCATTTACCTCTCCTTGGGGCCCACTCCTTTAATTAATTCCCTTCAATATCAGTCCTATGCCCCTGAAAAGTAGAGGTGAAGGAAGAGTGAGAACTTCAGCTACAGCATGTGTCTCGCACACAGCATTTGGCACAAAATGTGAAAAACTTAGTGAATAGCAGGGTCTCATGTAATGCTGAAACTGCCCTCATTGTAGCTGTACAACAGCTTATTGGGGTGATACTGGAGAGAAATTGTAATGTGTATAGGCTCTTGGTCGTTGATTACGGTGTATGGTCCGAGCTGACACAAGAGGCATCCCACTCTTTTGCTTGAGTGGCTCAACAGGGTTTGGGGGAAGGCACAGGTGATCAGAGTGCTTCATGTTATGGTACAAGGAAAATAAAACTGAAAAGAACATATATCATTCTTACTAACTTCTGTTGCCCCATCATATACGTGTATTTAGATTGAGATATATGATGCAAAAAATATCCTCTTTCTGTCTAGCTTTCCTTTTGACCATTCAGATCTGGAAGTCCTCAACTATTAGTAAGCTGCTACCTTAAATATTTAGTAAACAGTACTTCTTTGCAGTTAGTATAAACATTTTTTCAGTTTTCTGTATGTATGTCCAAAGAGACCACTGGGAAGACAAAGGCGTAGGTGGATGGACAATATATTAAAATGGATCTTAGAGAGATGGGATGGTATGGATTTGATTGATCTGGCTCAGGATATGGACCAGTGGAGGTCTGCTGTGAACATGGTAATGAACCTTCGGGTTCCATAAAATGCTGGGAAATTCTTGAGTACCTGCAGATTTGGCTTCTCCTCAAGAAGGGCTCAGCTCCATAAGTAAGTAAGTAAGTAAGTAAGTGTGTCCACTGAACATCCAAGTATTAGATCAAGTTGGCTTCTCACTTCCCAGTTTCACAATCATGTGGGTTAAAAGTCTGTACAAGATGTTTGTGAAGGGATCATCTGCTTGATGCACAAAATGAGTTATTATTACATTGGTTGTGCCCAATCCAAGTAGCAAAAGTGTCTGGTGATAAGGCATCCATCACCATTTGCTGCTTGTGTATTTTAACATGCTCAAAAGCTTGAAAACTCTCTGTTGTTTGCGAGAGTTATCAGGAAGTAGGATTTGAGGTTCTCACAATGGTAGTTATGAAGCATTCTGCCATCTGGTAAGTCCAGAAATTGAAAATCAACCCTGAAGTTGTAGGCGACATGTTCCTCTGAAACGTCAGTTGACTGTCAAGCGACTATGGAATTATATCCCAGACGATAGATTTCATCAATTATCAGGAATTTTATGGAACGCTGATGAACACCTTCACAGATCACTCTGTGTGCAGATGTATTTGTCTACTGCTACCCATCTCCACACAGTGGATGAAGTGGATATTCTGCTGGATAATAAAGTCTTACATGCTGAGTTTCAAACAGACACTGAAAGCGTTCAGAGCCACGTTTTCTTGAAAATGTCATTATAATTGTGTGAGTGAGTGAATGAACACGATAAGAAAGCTGCTCTCTGGTGCCAGGAAGGAAACTGTAACAGTGAATCCACTTTTAGTGACTTCTGTGTATGCAGATCCAGGACATCTGAATGTAACCAGAGTAGCACACAGTGTAATACTTGAGACATTAATGACCAGATGAGATGTGTACTAGTGAACACAGATGTTAAATATATTTTGAGATTCATTGCACATTTTGTATAGTAAGAGAGATTTGATGTTAGCTCTTGACCTCCGGGATCTACCCTTTTGCCCGTTACATAAATGCAGCGTTGTGATTCTGTAAACCACTTGTCGTATTGTAAGACACGGTCAAATGTTGATTTCTGGTTTTGTATAGAAATACAGGGCTACTATAAATGATTCATTCGTTTTTAAAACTCTATATTTTCCAAAATATTACACATACAAATATGATTGACATATAAAATGAACCGTAAAGTCACCAAATTTGTATTATGTGCACCAATTGGCAGCACGAATTCAGTGCCTTTACAAAATGGCGACAAAGCAAGAAAAGAGTTTTTGTTTGTTGGAATATGCGAGATGTTCGTCTCTTATAGCAGTGCAACGCGCATTCAAAAGAGAGTACGGAAAAGAACCGCCATGTAAGCAAAGCATTTTGCGGTTGTATCGGCAATTTAAGGACACGCTGGATTGGGCGTGTTGGTGAGGATGACTTAGCTCTGTTCACTTGGCCCCCCAGAACACCTGATCAAACGCCTTGCGGGGTCTGGTGTCCTCGTTATATAGCCTCGGGTCGGACCCAATGGGAAACTCCGCTTTCAACAGTTCCTCTGTTGTTGTAGTTGTGTTTCCCGATCCGTTGCCTGTAAACGGCTGTTTGTTCTTTCACTTATTGCACAACAACGGCTGTACTCGTTACAATATTTACACATTCTGACCTCTCCGAAAACATGGCTACTAACATTGATATTCTGTCTAAAGTTTGGCACGTTCCTTGTAACCTTCGTGTGCCTGATGTTATTCGCGTTCACTTCTAGTACAGCCATTAATGCTTTACTCCTCAGCAGTCCGTGTACTTCGTCAATGGCTCTCATCGACCGCACAAGAGTCACCGCAGCATCTGCATATGCTAAATATTTGTCTTGTTGCATTAGGTTACATTACGGTTAATTTCAATATCTCCTACTGCTTTCTCCTGAACAATAATAAACTGTATTGTGGATAAAGCTTCCCCTGTCTAATCAGTTGTCCCTGAAATTTAACATTACATTTTGAATTTATAAAGGCAATTTTCATTGCAAAACTATCTGAAGCAAGAGTACACCATCAGAATAATGGGAAAAGCGGCTGATAAAGGCTTTATGAAGTGCGAATGTAGATTGAGCTCCAGTGGCACAATATTGATATCAAAATTCGTCAAAATCGATTTGCCGATTCTCGAGTTTAAACATGCGGCCGTCGCTATAAACCATCTTCTACGTGTGTTTCCTTCTTGCAAGTTGTTCAAAGAACTGATAACAATCAGTGCAGATTTTAAACCAAAATAATCCACCAGCCTTCTATGCTTTAATTCAGTCTTGCGTCATATGTATCCATTTATCAAAAATCATACTCCACCAAAGTGAAAACAAAGCTCCTCTTTTCCAACAAGTGTATTGTTACAATTGTGTATACTTTAATATTGCGTTATTATAGAAGTTTATGTTTTCGATATATCAAATTCCATTCAGTGCCTCACCTGTGTAAGGACGTCTCCCATTGATCGAGAACATTCGTTACGAACAGTTCCCTACATAATTATAATGATTTTGCAAGTAAACATTTCTTATATTTAATTTAAAGGTTTATAGTCTTTATTTTTTTGCATATTGATTAAGAAATAGCGATGTATAATGGAGTAGAGACATGTGAATGAGCTGCAGCAGAACTGCGAGTGGCAATACAAATATTTGTTTCTTTGGAGAGACGGACAAATGACCACAGTCAGCCAAAGTGAATTGACGGATGCCCCCTACAAAGATGTTCCACTTATTCAGAATCTCTTCTCTCTTCGTGACGTCTCGATGTTTTGTTTTAAATGCACCTGCGAAACAGAGCGTGCTTTTAGAATAAGTCCTCGGAATTTAGCCCCTTGCACAAAGTCATAGATTCTTTTCTTAGGGCCTGAGCAGTCCGGCTTCCATTTCTTTCTTCTCCGCAGCGTCCAGACCGACTCTAGGGCTCACCCAGCCTCCTATCCAGTGGGGAGAGGGAGCTCTTTCCCCGGGGGACAAAGCGGCAGAGTCGTGTAGCTAACCACATAGTTTCATTTGGTGCCGAGGTCAAGAGGAATGGAGCTATACCTCCACTTCCCTGTACATCTTCATGACATAATGCTTAACTAATTAAGCACAGGGAATATATTTTTTTTACTGGTGCCATTTACTGAAACTGACAAAACAATAAACAATGTATATAAGGCTCCAGACATGAATGTATATAGGCATCCTTTCATCTATACAAGAGAAAAAAAAAGTTTTAGGAAGAATTAATTGCCTGCTTTACCTTGTTACGACGAGGACCGCATAGAAAACAAAAAAGTAGGGGAATACGCAGACAGCAAGGTGATCGCATAAGCCTTTTAACAAAAGTTTAGGGAGGATGCACAGACAGAGAGCAAAGTTATCACATAGGCTTCCTTTTATGGTTTCAAAATAAGGAAATTAGGCAAAAAACTACCCCTGCCCGGATTTTTCGTGAAAGTCTGCGAGGAGGTAATATACCAAGTATTACAAAGCTTTAAAATTACTTTTTATAAGTAATGTTGTATTTTAGCGTCCTGTTGCACTGATTTTCATCCATGATATGTATACAGTGGCCGTCTTGTAGTGCACTCAATTTCACCTGTTACTTCACGACATGTTTCGGCAACATAGTGCCATCATCAGGTGCCCTAATTACGTTAATCTATGGCATTGCTTGCCCTCATATGTCTTCACAACACCATTTAAAAAGTATTTAAAAATTGCGTATTTGTCAACTATAATAAATTTACACTCACTAAAACTTGTTAAGATTATTCATCTTATGTGTCTTAATTAAAACTTGCGTGTGGTTCATTCACTATGGGGTCGTTTTTTCTTATTTTCTGTGTAAACCGTGTCTCGCAGCTAAGAAGGGAACACACATCACAAGACACAAGACTGACACTACAAGCTGGTTACTTCTTTATAAACTGTGTCTAAGACATTTGTATGTGAGTGTAGTGGTGAGAATAGGAGATGCAGATTATGGGGCCAGAATCGCCATATTGGATAGCTCATTGAACACACAAGACTTCCGCTGTAAGCTGCCTGCTCAAGGCATGGCATACTGTCTTAAGCACAGTTTAGCTGTGATGCCAATTGGCTGCAAAATACAACCGGAATGTAGACAAGTTATTGTTTACAATATATAAATGATTGCTTACTTGCAGGAACCCTGATGAACATGCGCCCCTGTGGAACATGGCAGCGAATGTCTGCAGAGGCATGCGCACTGATCTGGGTCCCATTTCTTCGGATACACACAGTTCGAGCTCTCGGCTTCATTTCCGCACTTACACTGACATGAGTCCTCCTCGTACACCTGTGCTTTGCTGCAGTGGCTAGGCTGAGTCTGCGAAATTGAAGTTACCCGGTTCAACAGGAACTATTTGGACCCTTGTAGAAACTTCGAAGTGTGAAAATGCGTCGCTTTATTCTTTTACAAATTTCATATATAAATTAAAACACGCAGTTGTGTTTGCTTAATTAATTAAGCACAACTCCCTGAAGACGTAAGGGAGAATGGAGGTACAGTTCCAAGCATTCTTGACCCCAGCACTAGATGGAGACTACCCATTGCTTTACTTCAGTGAACTGAAGATGGGCTGGGCCCCAGAGCCGGTGTGCATGCTAGTGGTGAAATAATTTATGTTCTCGCCGGAAATTGAACTCCGAGTCTCTGGCCACCAGCCCATAGCCTAGTCACTATACCTGGTGACTAGCTTTCTTTCTGGAGAGGGTGAGACTGAGTCCATCTGGTACGTCGGTCACTAACTAGCCTATTGGACCAGCACCTGATGATGAATGAGCATGGAGCAGTCAGTGGAATGAGAACTGGCAGGGTAAACTGAAGTACACAGAGAAACCCTGCCCCAGTGCCACTTTGTCCACCACAAAGCCCACATGAGAGTACATGGGATCGAACCCAGGCAGCCTCAGCTATGGCACGGTCCTTACCTACTCACTCAGCTACACTGGCTATTTCTGAAAGGAATTATTATGGAGTTAGATTATCAAGAGGCCTTTAAAATAATATTGTTTCGTATAGGCCCGTTGCTGGGCAGAGACCTCAAAAAGAACAACCAGTACAGCCGTGGCTATGAAATAGGCGGCTAAAGAAACACCAGTTGCTATGGAACTGCTGAAATATTTTTTGGATCATAACAACGGGAACCCATTGCCTGGTGGCATATCTGCTCCAGTTTGTTCCCGGGGGATATAAATAAGGGGACCTGGCTTTCCAGGTTGGGGGAGTCTCGAATCTGAGACAGTAAAATGTGGTCATGAGTCCCACGGGACTGGGACCTGAGAATGACAGCGCTGGCGAGGCCCAGCAACAGTTCTAAACGGCAGACGCATCCTCTCGTCAGGGAAGATGTTACAAAATAACTATGACCGCAAGGTTTTAGTTGGAAAATAAAATTACTGGTCGTGGGTCTCAAGGGTCTTGTTGCGAAGACTAACCGATTGGCGGTAAATCGCCAGTCGTAAATTATCTCTGATTCTGACTCTAATAAAGAGTTAGTTGTCAGCAGTTCAGTTGAGTGAAGTGACGTGAAGTAGCTGGTTGGTGAGTGACAGAGTTCAGTTGTCGGTTGTCAGTTGAAGGTGGGCCTATGAAGAGAAGACTAGAGGTTGGTGTGAAATGGCCGCCAGCCTGGGACTCGTTTAGTTGAGTTGTCGGTTGGCAAGAATTCTGCACGGGCGACTGTGACAAGAGGACCTGAGTGGAGGGAACTGAAGAATCTCCCTCGTTAGAAGCCGTTGCCAGGAAATGGCTAGTGGAGACTGTAATAGACCGAGGACACTAGTCTGTGTGTTTCAGTGAACTGTACAGTGCAGTTCCGAGTGATATATACAAGTGGTCAATAAATCCAGTTCACCAATCCCTACCCCTAAATCGTCACAATACGTATACAATATTTCTCACGTTGTAAATGTCTTGTGACTCCTGGTGTTAGGTTGCACTGCTTGGTCTGCAACATGCCATATGTCAGAACATTCAGAACATATATTTCGGGAGGCGCAGGCGTGCTAGGGTTTGAAGTGACCACGAGAACACAACAAGGTGTAGGATGTTATGCTTACAAACCTCCATATTGGACACACCCGATTCACACATAGATACTTGTTGCGAGGTGCCCCGTCACTTGTTTGTACCCAAAGTGGTGGCCCCTTTACCGGCATCCTATGGGGCTTCCCCTTGTTATGACGAGAAATGACGAAACATTCCACCTTCATGGCGCGTTGATCGACATTTTAGGAGATGATTGTTGTAATGTTTCTAACGTAGTGGCATGCATTCATGTCACTGGGGTGGACAAGTTTTAACTGATTCTTTTTCGGACCCCGTCTGACGTCTTTTTGTCTTTATTCTTATTAAAAGAATCCTTTTGCAGCTTTCTTATATTTGAAGATGCTAACTCCACATACGCCATAGTTTTATGCCAGCATTTTACATATGCAAAAGATGTTTCTTTTGTCCTCATCGTCGAGACCGCTTATGAGTCCCACCCAGCCTCCTATCCAATGGATATTATGGGCTCTTTCCCCCGGGGGTAAAGCGGCCGGAGCATGAATTTGATCACTCACCTTTAGCTTGTATCAAAGTCAAGAATAGCGGACTTGTATCTCCACTTCCCCATATTTTCTTCATGACATAGTGCTTAATTAGTTAAGCACAGGGACTACTTGTACTCTTCTCCAAGCATAATTAGAATGATCAAGTCAAGGAGGATGAGGTGGGTAGGGCATGTAACACGAATGGGGGAGATGAGGAATGCATACAGGATATTGGTGGGAAAGCCAGAAGGAATAAGACCACTGGGAAGACCAAGGCGTAGGTGGGTGAACAATATTAAAATGGATCTTAGAGAGATAGGATGGGATGGTATGGAGTGGATTGATCTGGCTCAGGATAGGGACCAGCGGAGGGCTCTTGTGAACAAGGTAATGAACCTTCGGGTTCCATAAAATGCTGGTAAATTCTTGAGTAGCTGCAGATTTGGTTTCTCCTCAAGAAGGGCTCAGCTCCATAAGTATTTTTTTTTAATTCACTTAGTGGGGGCTGGAGTCAAACTGGGTCCATTCGGCACGGCGGCCACTGATAGGCCTATTGTACCTGCCCCGGGTGATTATGATGATGGAGAATTTGGTGGAATGAAGATTGGCAGGGGAAACCGAAGTACACGGAGAAAACCCGTCCCAACGCCACTTCGTCCACCACAAATCCCACTTGGCCAGACCCGGGATCGAACCCGGGCCGCCGCGGTGGGAAGCTAGCGACTAACCGCTTGAGCTATGGCGCGGCCAGTTCCATAGGTATGTAAGTAGGAACTGCTTTACTTTACCTTTACATATTACTGGTCACATCCATTTAAAGTTTGAGCCGATCACAGCGGCCGCGCTGTCTAAGGCATGAACTGTCTTCGCCTGCTCAAAAAATTGGATTGTGGGTTCGAATCCCACTTGAGGTTTGAATGTCTGTTTGCGTTTTTCTGTGTTTGTACTCTCCTGTGCGTAGGTAGCGGCCCTGCGGCGGACTGATCTCCCGTGCAAGGAGTCCTACCGACTGCAAAAGATCAAGAAACTGAAAAACCGGTCAAGGCCCAAAAAGAACTGCGGAGCCATAGACAGATAGACAGACAGACAGATAGATAGAGAGATTTAAAGTTTGACACATGCATAATTTTATGTAATTTTGAACCGAGTGAGATAATAAATGTTTCATCCTGACGTTTATCCGTAGTTTCTGACGCAGCTGTGAACCTACTTACTCCCTTATATGGACATGTAAGTGAATTTCACACTGGCAATCTCCGCGGTTCAAATACAAAAACAGATGTCATTCAAAACTCGGAAAACTTTAAGCCATCAGGCAGACCCACCACCAACTAACTGCAAGGAGCTGAACCTTTCTTGAGAAGCCACCAGTCGCTCAGCCCCTCAAGAATTTCCCAACATTTTATGAAACCCAAAATTTCATTATCGAGTTCACAAGAGCCCTCCAATGATCCTTATCCTGAGCCAGATGAATCCAGTCCATACAACTTCATCCTATTTCTCTTAGACCCATTCTAATATATCCTCCCACCTACGTCTAGGTCTCCCTAGCAGTCTCTTTCCTTTCGGCTTTCCCAATAAAATCCTACATGCGTTCCTCTTCTCCCCCATTGCTGCTGCATGCTCTGCCCATCTCATCCTCCTTAACTTAACCATTCTAATTATACTTGGAGAAGAGTACAAGTTATGAAGCTCCTTATTATGCAGTTTTCTCCAACCTCCTGTCACTTCATCTCTCTTCGGTCCAAATATTCTCCTCAGCACCCTGTTCTCAAACACCCTCAGTCTGTATTCCTCCCTTAGTGTCAGAGACCAAGTTTCACGCCCATATAAAACTACAGGCAAATTTATAGTTTTGTACATTTTAATTTTTACGTATTTAGACAGGGCAAAGAAATTTCTGAACTTAATGGTAGTAATCTTTACCCGAGTTCAACCCGCTCTTAATTTCCCCATAAATCAAGTTTTGATTGTGTACAATTTGTGGTGGACAAAATAATTGAAACACTAAGAAATTGAGGAATGGAATTCGTTTGTGTTGGCTACATGGAAGGAACTTCAGTTGGCAACACTGGATGTTCTTCCTTTGTTTTTGTTTTTTACATTCTGTAGTGATCGTGTCAGTGAATTTGTGTCTCTGTTGAGTGATATTCAGTGTGAAAGAATGGAAAAATGGGAGACTTCTCCGATCTTGAAAGAGGGCAGATTTTTGTGTGTGTTTAGCTGGAGCATCTGTGACAAAAGCTGCTACATTATTAGATGTATCGAGAGCGACAGAGTCTAAGGTTATGTCGGCATACACAGATCATGGGAAGACAACATCAGCGAAGAGGAACAGTGGGCGAAATTCAAAACTGACATAAAGATATAATCAAATAAATAAATAATAAAGAAGGATTGTTTCGAAAAATCACAAAACTACTGCAGCACAGGTGACAGCAGAACTGAATATTCATTTTGAAGACCCTAGTTTCCACAAAATCTGTCCAATGTGAGCTTCACAAAACCAGCATCCACGGTGGGGCTGCAATTGTTAAACCACTGCTTACTGAAAATAATCCTGAGATGCGTAAACGATGATGTCACGACCATAAGACCTGGACTTCAGCAACTGGAAACGCACGTGTGATATGGTAAGTTGAGTCGTCCTTCACGCTGCTCCCTACATCGGGAAGAGTTTACGTTTGCTGAACACCCAAGGAAGCCTACAATCTTGAATGCCTAATTCAAACAGTGAAACACAAGGGAGATTCTGTGATTGTGATGGTTTGGGCAGCAGTACCGTGGTTCAGTAGTCTGTTGCTCCCATTATCACCCTTCATGGCCGAATTGCTGCAAGGGAATACGCGGACAGGTTGGATAGTCAGGTGCATCCCATGGTCCAGACGTTATTTCCGAACAGCGATGCAGCTTTCCAAGCCGGCAATGTCCCACTCATACGGCTGCAACTGTTCGGCCACGGCTTGAAGAACATGAAGGTGAACTTCAACATCTTCCCTGACCAGCACAATCACCAGATTTGAACATCACTGAACCACTGGTCAGGTTTGTAGACTACAGTGGGGAACAGATTCCTACCTACAACATCTTTAAAGCATTTTGAGGATGTTCTTCAAGAAGAATGGAATAAAATTCCGCTAGAGACTATTCAAAACTTGTATGGGTTGAGCCCAAAAAGGACTACAGCTAAATTGAAAGCGACAGGTGGTCTAACATCATATTACTAGAGTTGTGTGTATAGTGTCTGTAGTGTTTCCATTATTTTGTTCACCATTTTGGGGGCGGCGGTTATATTGGTGACGAGGTGGTGAGATGGACAAGACAGAAGAAGGGTAAAGTGTATGCAGCATAACTCAGATTTGTATTGTCCGCTTGACGGAAGGGGTAAGGCTGGTTGCATAAATACCGCACAGGCAGGAAACTTTCTGAAGGAAGTCATTTTTACCTTACAGCCACATTTACAGTCCTCATGCTGTTCCATTTGGAAAGACTTGGCACTTTTATACATACTTCTTGACAACACATCTAGTTCTATAGCCTGAAAACGAACAAAACGTTACACGAATTAACATAAAACATAACAAAGTGTAATAAGGACATATGTTCCAGATCAGGCACAGTAAGTAAATGCTTTGTAAGCTTTTAAATTCTCACAGCTGGGTCTATAAATATTACTTTCATCCAGAATGTGATCCTGTATAGTCTGATGGATGCTTATCGACGTTTCTTAGGAACCTATTCCCTCTATCTTCAGGGTAAATATGTCTCTTACGATAATTAAATTTATTTTTATGTTCTGCTCATGGCAATAACCTATATTTTCGGGCATTTCACAAAATTTCCGGAATATTTTGTTTCCGAAAAATACTGACGAACCTGCACATTATGAAATAAATATTGGCGCGATCTGAAGGGACGGCAGACGGGACTTGGGTTCGTAATCGGATTTGCCGAACACTTTAAGACACAACATATGATTATATTTTAAAAATCACTGTCACACACAGATTAGTGTTCTCAGTCTCTTACGGTCTTCACTAGCCGTTGCTTGGTAGCGGCTTCAACAGCGGATATTTCCCTTCCTCTGGTTTCCCGAACTATCCCTGGCCTCAGCTACCGGCTCATCACAGCAGCAGGTCATAACGACTGAACCGCAATTCTGTGACTGCCTCACTGACTCCACTGACCGACCCGAGTCGAGTCTTATGTTACGACCGACGCTCAGTCGGCCAGACTGCCTTGGAATAAAGCACCCATCTGGGGCTTATGACCAAATTTGTATTACTGTCAGACAGTTGCGGATTTGATGATGTGGAGTGTGCTCTCTGACGAGAGGACGGATCTGTCGTTTACAATTGCTACTGGCCCTGGCCAGCGCAGCCATTCTCGGGTCCGAATCCCTAAGGACTCGCGACCATATTTTACTCTCTCAGATTCAAGACTTCCCTTTTTTCGCCTCCTACGACTCGCAGGGTCACGGTGGAGGTATTCGACCCCGCCTTCACACGGACTACTGACTGACTCAAACCCAAAGGCAGAATCACATTGCGAGTGAGTGGACAATTAAGGGACATTCAATTCGTTTTTGTTTCGAAACCGACAAACCGACAGATATTTCACAATTTGATTCGCGCATCAGTTGTAATATATGCCATATTGTGATAGGCTCTTGTTTTCAGCCAGTGCAACAGAACAGGAAAATATCTGCACATACTACGACATTGTGGGTTCACTTGTATATTGATCGGAGTTTGACGAATTTTTATATCGATACTGCGAAATATGCCGCATTATTGTAATGGCTTACAACTAACTGTCCAACTGGCCGTGATCGTGCGGATGTGCTTTCGCGTACTTAAAGGCTATAGGCGCTAAGCCCAACTTCACTTCTAAGCTCGGGAAATGTGTACCTAGTGTTGCAACAATTAACAGTAAAGTAAAGGTAAGCTTGTAAGAGGCTGCGGAGGCCCTTAGGGTTGTGCGACGTCGAGGCTTCCACATTTTTCTGGACAATCAGCAGTGAGATTGTCAACCTTACGCCCCGGCCGTCCTTTACCCCCAGGAAGTTTCCTGGTACTCGTTTCTGTTAGAGGCTATGTCTATCCCTGGGCCATATTGCGGCTAGAAGGATTAGTTCAATTGAAAAGTTCAATTACCTCATCGGGGATCGAACCGGCGACCTTCCGGCTTGTAGCATAACACCTCAACCAACTACGCTACCGCGTGCCCCCACAATTAACAGCGGAAAGCCATTATAATGACTGCTATAGCATGAGGATCTTGTCATTAATGTAGAGCATACCTGACACCATCGTGTGTTACTTAGTAACATTTCGTCTTGTTTAAAATGTTACAGATGTTAAACAGGTTAAAGCTATCCCCGTGCTTAATTAATTAAGCGCTATGCCATGAAGACATGGGGAGCCGAAGTATAGCTCCGCCATTCTTGACCTCGGCATTAGATGGGGGTGAGTGGTCAGTTTGACGCCCCTTCCGTTTTATCCACGGGTACCTATTGGATAGGAGGCTTGATGAGCCCCCAGAGAAGGTCTGGATGCTGTGGAGAAGAAATTTTGCACTGCCAGGAATCGAACCGGGCACGTCCAGCCCGTAGTCCGTCTCTATAGCGACTGAGCTATCACTGCTCTAAAAATAAGATGATAACATTATGGAGCTCGAAGTGGAGCCTCTGCACTTGCATATTTCAGCAGTTAGTAAGTTCTTTTTTGAAGTTAGGTTCCTAGTAGAAAGTTATGGAGTTTTTCTGCAGTACTAACCCACTTCTTCACAGTGGTTATGTTGACAGGCCTGCATTCTAACAGCGCGCTGTTGCAACAGCCCCCACACCGCTTGGCCGTGACGCACTGTGGGTAGTAGGAGGATCCGGACGGAGCTGCAGGCAGTTCCACCAGTACGGCCCTCGGCTTGCAAGACGCTCCCTTGCCTTCCAGCAAAGCGGCATTCATTGCTTTCATTTCACGTTTTTTCAGACCTGTGAATTCCATAGTATTGTGGCATGTACACCCGTTGCTAGGAAACGACACCGAAACAAACAACTATACAGCTGCCGTTACTAGGCAACGACCCTTATACAGTGACAGAGGAGCGGTGTTTTCTGTGCGGCCCGTGCCGAGATATTAGCAGCAGGGCAGCTCAGTCAGTTTAGTTAGCTGGTTGGTGAGTGAGTCAGAGAATTTTTAAGGTTTAGTGTGAGCTGTTGCTGTTAGAAGCTGGTAGCTGAGGCATTGGGATAATTCGGGAACTCAGAGAAACGAAAACGTCCCCCGGCGGAAGCCGCTACCAAGCAACGGCAGTGAAGACGTGACTAGACACATGTGTATGTGTGTGTACTGTAAAGTGTAGTCACGTGCTATATCAAAGATTTCAGTAGATCCGGTTATCAATCCAAAACCTGCCTCTACTGAGTCCATAAAATCGTGACAGTGTCAACTGAAATCAGAAGGGCAAAGTAAATTCGTCCCTGTGCTTAATTAATTGCTTACTTTGTCGTGCAGACATGTGGGAGAATGGAGGTGAGTGGTTAGCTTCACGCCCCTGCCTCTTTACATCTTGGGAAAGATTGGATAGGAGGCTGGATGGACCTCAGAGCCGGTCTGTGCTGAATGGTTACGCAGTTACATAGGGCCCCACATTACACCTCTGGCGTTCTTGTGGTCCCTTTGTTGCATGAATTCCACCATCAGCCCTCCTTTCCTGGCCCAGAAAAAAGTTCTCGGCCACCTGTCAGACATGGTTTCTTTAAACTTTCCCGACTTGTTTGGTGAATGTGTGTACGTGTATATCCACTGTTTTGAGCGCTTTTGGTTTCAGCATTCACGAACAAACCCCAGGTTTCATCGCCTGTTACTCATAGGATGTGATCGAGAAATTCATCGCCATCTTTGTGAGGTCGCTCTAAAATTAAAGTCAAAGACGAAGGCATTCTCTGTGTTTTGTGCGCATTTTCGGAACGCGTCTTGCGCAAAACTTGTGATAGCCTAGCTTAACTGTGATAATCTCGTAGAGAAAAGTGCGCGAAATTTGTGGAAATTCACATGAAAGTTCTGAAATTGTGAAGCTCCCTTTCTTTCGGAAATTTTTTGGTCAACAAGATCGTTACTCACTAGAGACCACTTCTCTCTTCATCGTGAGCATTTGTTTGCCCACCTTTGAACATTTTACGCCACTGTCTCACAGTTCCTTCACTCACTGCATTTTGGTCATAAACCGCACATAATTCACAATGGATTTCATGCTTTTAGCGTGAAGAAAGGGGACAAGAGCGTGAATTTTGCAGCTGGCGGCACATCATAACTCATCCTGTGGGGACAGCAGTCCTATCATCAACCCCAGCTGCTCTTCACTCGACTCAACTGACTTCACTTCACTATCTGTCCTGGGCCGTTCCTCTCTTACTGGATCCAATCGTTGCTTGTTACTTAAATAACGGCTCTTGTATATTTGCTTACTGCGCGGTCGTTGCCCAGTAACGGGTCTACATGTCATATCATTTTTAGGCCTGTACTTTTAGTTATTTTTTATAGTCATCAATTTTAATTATTTCCCACAATCGACATTCGGTTCTGTTGTCACCGAACAGGTTTGTCTTGGGGGTAACGCTCTCGACTTGCATTGGACAGGTTCACTGTTCGAATCTCAGCCAGAACACTGCTATTCTGACTGAGGTTTCTCGTGATTTTCCTCAGATTCGCCGGTAAATTCCAGGATAGTACTTCGATTAAGCAACAACCGCTTCCATTCCAAATCCTTTCCAATGCATGATCCTACCATCCGCTCTTGATGCCGAGAGCGTTGTTAAATAGCACAGACGAAAAATGTTGATGGCTTTATAGTCACCGGCCAGTGTTCAGTAACCTGCTCGGTTCATAAAACACGTATTGGTATAATATAGAATGGACCCAGTAACGTAAAAAGTAAAAGTAAAGCTATCTCTGTAACAGGCCATGAAGGCCCATAGGGTTGTGAGACGTTGAGGGTCCCACATTATCTAGATCAGGCATGTCAAACTCAACTTGTACAGAGGGCCACCTCAGCCCTATAAATAATAGTCCAGGGCCGCACTTCAAAATAGAAATATACATTAGATTTTGATACAAGGAAATTTAATTCTATTTATTATTTAGGAATAATTTCAATATAATTACCTAAAGTCACATATCTTACAGTTTTAAAAAGCAAGAGAATGCCATTTTTGACAAGTATCAAACAGCTTTTCAATATGTAAAAAGAGAGATTACACAAGAAATTATGTTAGAAATAACAAAACATTGAATTTCCTGCAGCCTGCTAATTTATGTCTGCGTGACACTTCTTGTCTTCTGGTCTGCTAGAAAATTGTCTTTACAAAAAATATTTCTACTAAATATTCAATATTGATTTTAATATCAATTAGCTCTAAAAGTTGAGGGGCCGTTTGACACGGCTGATCTAGACAATCGGCTCAAAGATGGCGGTAAGGTTGTCAGCCTTACGCGCCGGCCGCGCTTTACTCCCAAGGAAAATTATTTATTTAATTCCTGGTACTCATTTCTGTTAGAGGCTGAGTGAACCCCAAGGCCATAGTGAGGCCGGAAGGATTAGGTCAACTGAAAAAATTCAATGACCTCATCGGTATTATTAAACGAATTTTAAAATCTCTAAAAATGCCTAGTTTCTTCTCTTCTCACCTGGCAGCGCTGCTGCTCTTCCTCGCTTGATCTGTACACACAGAGCCTTGAGTTTCTCTATCGGATCCTGCAAGCATATAAATACTTGTCAGTGCATGAGCATTTTGTAACACACGTGTGCGGCAGAGAGAGAGAGAGAGAGAGAGAGAGAGTGTGTGTGTGTGTGCGCGCGCTTGGAGAAGAGAACCAGTCGCTCCCCAGTAGAGTGGGAGTGACCAGTAGTAATCATACCTCTTCTCTCGTCTAAGAAAACGAACCATTTAAAAGTATGTAGAAGTCTGGAAAGAACACCAATATTGACTGTGCTGGCGAGGACCATCAGAAATTCACCCGACCGACTGGCCGACCGGTAAATATGAAAATAATCGTCTTTTGCAACGCGATGCCATGTTGTCTGCTGGATACTGCATGAATATTTGAAGGAACATAGTGTGCATCTCCGCAGCAGATGAGTTCCTACTCTCACGACGGGAGAGCACTCTCTTCCTCCAATACTTCGATGAGCTTTACCACACTAAACGGCGTCCCACGCCAGAAGATGTCATAATGACAATTTTGCTTCCTTGTGAAAGAGGAACAGTTATGAAGTGTAAACAAGTGAAAAAATTGTCCCTGTGCTTAATTACTTAAGCACTATGCCATGAAGACATATGGGGTTGTGGAGGTATAGCTCCACCATTCTTGATCTCTGCATTATATTGAGACGAGCAGTCAACTTCACACCCCGGCCGCTTTACCCCCTGGGAAAGAGTTCCCGGTACCCGCTGGATACGAGACTATTTGAGCCCCAGAGCCGGTCTGAATGACGTGGAGAAGAGAAAAATCTTGACGCCGCAGGGAATCGAACTCTGGCCATCCAGCCCGTAGACCCTCGCTATACCGACTCCTGATTAGTCCAGTACTTGACCTATAAATAATTTCTGATTGTATTGGAAGGTAAAACTGCCGCTGTGCTTAATTAAACACAACTCCATGAAGTATGGTGGAGCAGAGTTTGAGCTCCACATATTGTTAACCTCTGCAGAAGATTTAGGTGACTGGTTAGCTTCACGTCCCAGACGCTTTATCCCGAGGGAACCTATCCTGGTTCACATTGGATAGTAGACTGAGTGGGCCCCAGATCTGACGTGGAAGTTGTGTAGAAGAGAAAAATCTCTACCGTTGTAGGAAATTGAACGCTGGTTCCCCGACTGTTCAGGCCGTATACTGATGTGTTTATTGACTAGCTGTCTCTACCCCAATAATTATAAAACATAGCCACCCTGTCTCTCTTTCCTGCTCTATACAGGGTGTAAATAAATATATGTTACAACGCTCTGCGGTGGATAGGTGGGTTCAGTCTGATCACATTTTGTTAATACACCCATGTGGGGAAATGCTTCCTTTTGCACTAAGGGCCACAAACATTTCGGAGAGGATGCATAAGTTTTAGGGGATGTTACGGTTGTTTTACATTCAAAAGTTGCTCAAAATGGCAGTCTCCAACTTCATTGAAAATTCTGTACCGCCTGGCTATGTTATACTGAACCCTTTGAAAGATTCCTGGCATTTCCCGGAAGGTTCCAGCTGCTACTGAAATTATTGCCAAAGATCATGTCGTGTCTCATACACAAGGCTTTGCATGTACCCCCAGAGAAAGAAATCCAGTGGAGTCAAGTCAGGGGAGCGATGGGGCCAGGTTATTGAGCCCCCACGTCCAATCCATCTGTTGCCAAAAGTTTCATCCAAGTACTCACTGACGACATTAGTGCAGTGTGCCGGGGTGTCATCATGCTAGAACCACATTTCACGACGGGCTTCCAAAGGCACCATTTTCAGCAGCTCCGGTAAGGTCCCTTGGAGAAATATTAGGTAAATATCTCCAGTAAGCCGCAGAGGTAAGAGGTAAGGACGCCCTCCTTCACATTTCAGAGGCCCTAGCGCGTAAACAAAGCGTTTCCGCACATAGGTGTATTAACAAAATATGATCAGATTAAACCCATCTATCTACCGCAGAGCTCTGTAACGTATATTTATTTACACTCTGTATATAAAAATTTTTATAGCCTTCTCTCCAGGTCAGCTGCAAGGAGTTCGTGGGAATGCCGATAGAGGCGCATTAGACGGCACTCGCATCGCCAATCTACTTATGACTTAGGCTATAATGATGTAAGGGCTATAAGACAAAAGGCGGGGTTTGAGAGGAAAGTCTCGAACAAGTTCATGGACGTCATTCTGCGAGCACTTACGAATAAGATGAAGATGTCGATGGGAAATTGAACAAATTCTAGATGCAGTGTGACCGCCATGATCAAAGATTGTTTTGAAATACGGAATGCGGTATTTTTATGGCAGCAAGAGGCAGATTTTGTCGAACAGGAAATTCAGAACAAAGCTGTAGATATCGCAATGTTGCAAGATAATTCATTCTGACTGCCCCTTGGACATGAGGCTCTCGCAGCGGTCACTGAGCTGTGACACCGTGTGCACTGCGTGGGCTCTCACCACAGTAGATAATACTTTTATGCCTGGTTCTCTCTTCTTAGGAGCCATTAATTACGGTACAAATTTAGTGGACACTGAAATCGCGAATTCTTTCTTATAAACATCTCCGCATTTTTATGGTCGAAGCCTCCTATACAAAGCAGTACTTAGACCCGTATGGACCTATGGAATTCAGCTGTGGGGGACAGCCTCCAGTCCCAACATCGAAAGCCTCTAGCGCTTTCAGTCCAAGACTCTCCGATCTATTCTGAACGCACCTCGGTACAGAAACAGCCACAGGACCAAGGAAGGTCTACAAATATACACAGTGCTCAGTGAAATAAAAAAGGGGAATACCAAATATTTAAGCAAATTAGAAAACCACAGTAATGCACTAGCAGTAAACCCACTAGACAATAGCGAAACTGCACATAGACTGAAAAGATACACCGTCCCAACTCTACCAGACACACTTGAGTAAAACCCCAATCTCTCTCTCTCCTCTTGCTCCCACTTTGGAGCATAAGGCTGATTTCTCAGTTTAATGTTCATTCTACAGACGGTAGAACTCCTTGGGCGAGTGATAAGCTCGTCGCAAGGCCTCTACCTAAACACAGTGCAACACAAACACAGAATAAATGCATATACATACAAAACATCCATGCCTTGTGTGGGATTCGAACCCACGATCCCGGCTTCCGATCGAGCGAAAATAGTACGTGTCTTAGGCCACTCGGCTACCGTGGCCGGTAAAACCCCGCAATAGAAGAATTAAAAATGATACCTAGGTGAACAAAAAGAAAAACGGGTAGATGAGTTGTGCCACTGGGCATAATTCATTCACGAGCTAGTACTTATTGAACATATACATATTGCAGATTCTGCAGATTGTGTATAGTAAATGCATGGACAAATTGTGGTTCCACAATTCAAAAGCTTTCGTTTGAGAGGCAGAAGTTCGAATGAGCCAGCTCAGCCGCATACACGTAGTTCTACCTGTGATGGAGCGATGTCGCTGTGGGCTGCCTTCCCATTGTTGAGGTTCACCAGGATCCGGAGGGTTGTGTCAGCACACAGGCGACGGTTACTGCGTACCACGAGACTCGCAAACTCGGCCATCGACTCAACATGGTTTAGTTGCTTGGCAAAAAGTGGGTTCATCTGTAACAGCGATCTTCGATAACTACACATTCAAAGCAAAATTCAAGTTTTACAAAGCAGAATATACAATAATTATAGTAAACTAATCTCGACACCTGCTGAGAATTCTCATTGTACCATTCACTTCCCCTCTTCCCCCACGTACTCCTCCATGCTACTGAATGATATTCTAGCATGTAGACCCGTTGCTATACAACGGATTCCTAACACGCACCGATGGACTGGCCGGAAGCGGTGTTCCCTTTGCAGTTCGTACGACATCTGCGTGACGTAACAATATACGCGCTGTTAGGGAATGTGTTTTCTGTGCGGTCCTTGCCGAAGTTTTTTAAGCAGGACAAGTCGAGAGTTTACTTAGTGTTCAAGTGACTAGACTGCCGTTGTAGCGGAAGCTACTAGAAATAGGGCATAATCTGCTGTACTGAGCCTGGACTGACAGAGGCCCTGTATATATTGTATATATATTTTTAACATGTTTAACATGTAAAATGTAAATATCCTTTATATTATGACAAATGACTTACTACTGCAGACAATGACTCTAACAAAAGACAGACATGTCCTCTCGTCAGAGAGGGCGCCCCATAATAACAAGACCTAAACTGTCAAACAGTAATAAATATCTGGTCATAAGCCCCAGATTGGGTTAGACACCAAGACAGACAGACTGACTGACCGTCAGTCGCAATGCCACTTTGACTTTCAGTTTACTTTGATGTGAGAAAGTCGCCGAAGGGTAAGGGCGTGAACACAAGCTGAGGAAGTTACGGCTTTGGAAGCCGTTACCAGGCGACAACCGGTGAAGATGAAATAGACTGTAAAGGCTTAGTGTGTGCTGTATTGAAGTGTACAGTGTGTGTGAATTAGCGATAGCGCTAGAATTACTTGTAGTTACGATCTGTAAGATTTCAATGAATCTAATTACCAATGCAAACGCCGTCTGTAGTCACTCATAAACGTGACAATATGTCGAGGTCGACATGTCACGCCCTCTCCAACGAATGATATATGAAAATGGACGATTGTTCACCGTCTCCTTCATAAAGTATACTGCATATAGCCACGAAAAGGATCACCAGTACTCACAGAAATCACCAGACAAAGTTGTGCCAGTGCTTAACTAATTTAACGCCATACCTCAAGCGGTTAGTCGCTGGCTTCCCACCGCGGCGTCCCGGGTTCGATCCCAAATTTGGTCAAGTGGGATTTGTGGTGCACAAAGTGCCGCTGGGGCAGGTTTTCTCCGAGTACTTCGGTTTCCCCTGCCAATCTTCATTCCACCAATTGCTCCACAATCACCCTCACCTATCATCTGGGGCTGGTACAATAGGCCATAAGTGGCCGCAGTACAAGGGACTTAGTCCCACCCCACTAGCAATAAAAAGCAAAAAAGGCATCGAACGGAAGTGAGTGGTCAGCTTCACGCCCGTGTCGTTTTACTCCCTGGTAGAAAGCTCCCGGTACCCATTGGGTAGGAGGTTTGGTGGTCCCAGATCCAGTCTTAGAGTAGAGAAAAAATTGGCTTCTGTCGGGAATCGAACCCCGGCCTTCAAGCTCGTCGCTATAACGATTGAGTTATCGTTGCTTTTAAAGGAGAATATAAATCGCTACAAACTGACTAGAGCAGGCTAACAAAATGGTCTGCTTGTTCCAGGCCCATGTTCCTTTAATATGGAAAAAATGCTGCTCTTTCTTACGCAATATACACGTTTTAACGTTTATGTAATATGTTGACGTTCAAAAATTCGTTGCTATAGCAGCCCGAAGATGCGCAGTGTCAGTGCTCTCACCAGTAAAGTGCATATTTACGAGTATATATAGAAATAAAGCGAAGCGGCCGCTACACCATTTTGTCGAAATGGCGGTGAACTAGATTGTCTTAAATAAATCAGGAGCACTTCACTCCAGGAAGAGTGAAGCAAAATGAAGACCAGAGAGACAGCGAAGACAGACAGAGAGACTCATGTGAAGACAAAGGAATGAGAGCAAACTGAATGAAGCAAAAATTGAAACAAAATTTTCCCTGTTTAAATAATTAAGCAGCACGCCATGAAGACTTCTGTGGGGAGTGGAATTATAACTCCAGCATTCTCTACTTCGACGCTAGGTGCTGGTGAGTGGTCAGTTTCACGCCCCTGGCACTTCTCTCCCCCCACCCCCACTGTATCCGTGAATAGGAGGCTGGATAGGCCCCAGAGCCAATCTACACCCTGTACAGAAGAAAAAGTCTCTTTGCACTACCAGCAAACGAAGTAGTTGATGGGGCATCTAAAGTTAATTACTTTTTTCGCGTAAAATTAAGAGGCTCTTTTCTAGCGCTTAGACTGCGAGCTGGGGTCAATCTCGACAAAGGTAAGATGGTTTTCTCTTCTTAGAAGCTTTCAGACCGGTCAGAAGGCTCATCTAGCTCTCTATCTAAAACATACTGTAACGTAACAACGGCTCGGTAAACAAACTTCAACAATAGAGTGTTTTCTATGTGGTCCGCGCCGCGACCGTTGCTATGCAGTGGTTCGGTAAACATGTTTTAACAATGGAAGACGGGTTTTTTCTTGAGGTTCGCGCAAAGGAGTTTTTTTAACAAACGGCGCTACGACTCAGTTGTGAGTTCTGAGTTCTCAATAGAATAGAGCCACGGAAAGTTCGTTGACCTGCGAAGTAGAAGTTTTCATTCGTGTGTAACAGTTGGAGAGTGTGATTCAGTGCAACTGTTACAGTTCCTGCGTTTTAGTTGTGGTAGCAGGAGAGGACCAGTGTATGTAAATCAGCGGTAGCGCTGTAAACAAGGTGCTAATAGATCCAATCATGCGAACTAGAACCCGTAATTTTCGTCACGCGTACCACCTACATGTGACAATGCGTTTATCTCTTCCCCAGGTTAAGGCGACCAGGATGTGAAGCTAACCACTCACCTTCATCTGATATCAAGGTTCAGATGTCTGGAAATTTTCCTAATCTCTCATGTATGTTTTCATTGCATGGTGCTTAATTAAGTATAAGGAAAAACTTATGTTTTACTTATATTTTTTAGTCTGACAGAATATGACGTATTTAATAATCGAGCATTTACAAAATCATTACAGCTTTTAATGTTTTTCAGTTTTTAAGGTCGCGCCTTACATCCTGGTAAATTTTGGTTTATTTATATTGTAGCATGTAGTACCGTTGCTATAAAACGACCGCGAGATGGGCCGATATACCAGACCCGTTTCTGGGCAACGTCTCGTTATACACGTTCCCAGATTCTTAATAATGCAAAATTTGGACTACAAAAATGGAAAAGAGGTGTTTCCACTTGGTCCGTGCTGAGATGTTATAAGCAAGGAACAAGGTTAGAGCTTAGTTGTGAGACTTTGGCCAGCAGGGAATAGCGTGAGTGCGGAAACTGAAGAATCTCCACTGTTAGAAGCCGTTGCCAAGGAACGGATGGTGAAGACACATCAGGCTGGAGAAGCCTTAGCGGGTGCTGTGAATTTTGATTAGCGGTGGCGCTGTAATTACTTATAAATACATTCACCAATCCAAACCCCGTCTATAGTCACACATAAATCTTGATAATATTTTGATTAATCTATGTGTGTACGAAATCACCGTTACTAGTTAGAATTTCTTTACCAGTCCTCACAAAGCAGATCAGTGCGCAAGGAAATGCAGACAACTGGCTAGTGGATGTGATGAGAGTTACTTCGTACAGATCAATTTTATCGGCCGAACCTAATTATTTCGCTGTGTTAATTAGCGCATTTTCTTCGTTGGCTGAAGCGGTAACATTATAGACTTATACTCAGGAGGATATTATTTCGAATCTCGGCCGGGAGGCCGTGTAATCTGAATGAGGCATTTCGTTCTTTTTGTCAGTGTCTCCAGGTAAATTCTGCGACATTTCTTTGATTAGACCGTAACCGCCTCCTTCCAGATCCTCTTTAATTCTACGTCATATAGGCTTGGTACTGAGAGCAAAGTCACTTTATAAGTAAAAAAAAAATGTTAAATATCAACTTACTAGGAAACAGATACAACAAACGTCGAGTAAGGGGTAATTTGGTAAGCTTACCTCAGCGGTCTGCTCTCCATATTGCTGCAGCGTGGCATTTTCGAAATAGACGCTTCTTCCTTTTCTAGATGTTTCTTGGTAATATGTGTGATCTCCAGCAATAATGGTAAGTATAACTACCAGTATGTAAACATTCAGAAATGGGAGTCGAAGAAATGACATCTCAACAACCTTCTTTACTAAAAATTTACCACTTTTGTCATAACAACTATACAAAATGAATTCGCTCTTTTTTGTTTCCAGTAAGATTATTATGACGTAATTCGTAAAAATTGACAAACAGGCCGAAGAGACTAATAAAGTGTTCCTGCTAATGATTTTCATTAACTTCATACAAATATGTGTTGGGGAAATTTTGGGTAGTGGAACGAAACAGAGGACATGTATGGTGCAATAATTGTTGTTCCTTATTCATATAGTCACCTATTTATAAACGGAATTAATACACAAAATTAGAATATAAATCCTATATATAGTATTTTCAAAATGAATGCACTCAACAACAGCTCAGAAACTTCTGAAAACAAACAGTTCAGTGATACACACATCTATTGTCCGTGTTTATGCTTAGCGCAATGACAAGACAGTCGCACTGCAACAGCTCAGTAACACGCTCAGGACACTGAACATTGGGCTGCACTTGAATTTCTGTAGCGGCTGCAACCGTTGGACATGGTTCACGCCAGGAAATTGTGGCTTCCTCGAGCGCTCTCAGCGTTTGGACGTAAAGACGCAGTTCAGTTGACTGTCATTTGTTTCTACGCACTACTTACGTGTACTAACACAGTTCATAGTATTGCGCCTGAGCCTTGTATTGCAATGGATGAGAATATGATACCTTTTTTATTTTAATGCTAGTGGGGTGGGACTAAATCGCTTGTACTGCGGCCACTTTTGGCCTATTATACCAGCCCCATATGATAGGTGAGGGTGATTGTGGAGCAATTTGTGGAATGAAGATTGACAGGTGAAACCGAAGTACTCAGAGAAAAACTGCCCCAGCGCCACTTTGTCCACCACAAATCCCACTTGACCAGACCCGGGATCGAACCCGGGCCGCCGCG